TGAAAAATTTTCCGCTCCTTAGGGGGGCGGCAGCTTCAAAAAGGTTGAGAATCACTGAGCTTCCTCTTCCTCTTCCTCTTCCTCTCCAATCTCTCTACTCTGTAAGGGGGGTGGGGGGAATTAAAACAACAGATGGGGCACAGGACAACGCATACTGACTGTAATGTGATCATGTGACTGAGGGACTCTATGAAGGTCATAAATGCAGGCATTGGTCGTAAAGTTATTTTTCAGTACCATTGTAACTTTGAGAGGTCGCTGAATGAGGCAGTCTGTAAGCAAGGACTACCTGTAGTAGCAATGGGAAGGGGGAATTTTAATTACTCTAGCATATCTTGGGAGATAAACTCTGCCAAGCATGGATCTTGCAGAAAATTACTGACTTGTTAGTAATCTTTTAGTTAGATTACTAGTTAGTCTTTTCAGGGAAAAGAGGAAGGCACAAGGAAATCAACTATCCTTGTTTTGATATTGATGTATAGGAAACTCTTAACAGGCAGAGTGGAAGTAATAGGAACATTGGGAAGAAGTGACCATATAATGCTAGAAGTGTCGGTATTAAGAAAAACTAAAACTGAGTGCAGCAGTATCCAAATACATGCAATTAGATGTCTGCAAGTTATAGATGCACCAAAAAATTAAATATTGCTGCTGCTCCTAGTACAAGGACTATACCAAACTGAGGCTGAAGAGAAGGTGTCCTCTGCCAATTAATAGTAGGAGCAATTTAGTAGTTGAACCAGTTACCTCATCAGGTAGGCTCTTTCTTGCTCAATGTGTTCACCGCGGCTGAACACCATTCTGTTAAAAAAGCTTACTGTCCTATGTTGTAAAAACTGTTGTTCTCATCTTGAAGTGTTGAGCATCACATTCCATGTGCTACAGGCACCATAGGATCTCTTGCCCACGTTTTACTGTACTGTTCTTTTTATACAGATATTAGAATCCATTTTATTTCCCCTCAGCTAGTAAAATACCCAAATCATTCTGATTCTTTTTAAATACAAATTCTGCTTTCTGATCAAAGGGATGGATGTTGTCTGGATGTTGCCAAATTCTCCCTGGATGTTGCCAAATTCTGTTATGCTGCCAGTAAGATAAGATTCAAGCAGACTAATCCCCATCCCTTAATATAGCATAATTGTGCCTAACTTTTGAACAATACTAAATAAGGATGGATGGATGGATGGATGGATGGATGGATGGATGGATGGATGGATGGATGGATAAATGTCACTTTTATTTTATCTGATCCTACCTCTATCTTAGAATTTTAGCTGTAAGTTTGAGACAAATAACACTCTGTTTCTTAGTTCTGGGGACACAGCTTACACTGGTAATAATGATGATAGTTATAATATTCTGTAATATTTCTCTAGCTTGTGTTTTATATTCAGTCCTCCTCTTTTACTTTTAAACAGTTTGTGAATTGTTTTGTTTTATACTGGTCTTTCACCAAAATAAAGTTTGATTGACTGACTTATTGAATATCAAGTAATGCTATGCCTCTGCAGAAGGGGGAGCTGCAATATCCTTTTATTACATGGGAATCTTACCAGCAGTATTATTCATAAAGGGGGGGAAATTATTCTTTCATCATTCAGTCATGCTGTTGCTTGTTTTCCCTCTCTTGGCTGTTGGCCATCATAGCTGAGATAGCACACTGAATGCAAGCAAAACTTTATGCTAGTTTTTTTTTTCCTCCTACTTTTCAGGTTGTAAATGTGACTGGAAATCAGGACATCTGCTATTATAACTTCCTTTGTGCTCATCCACTGGGAGTCCTGAGGTGTGTCTGGGGACCATTCTGAATATGTGGCTTGGGTTTTAATTTGTGTTTCTTTCTTTATAACTGGGAAATGGGGATGGGCATTTTCTTTGGGGTAAGTGGTTTGCAGTGAATATCATTTTTTGCATGAAGTTTAATGTTCATAGACTTGTAGAATATTAGGTTGGAATGCATCTCTAGTCCAACTCGCTGCTTAGTCCAAAATCCATTACTACAGCAATACTGGTTGCAGACTAATAACATTTAATAAAAACAGAATAAAATCCCATAAAAGGAGTGCTGACAAAATCAAAAGCCAATCAAAAGGAAGTCCTGATTTTACTATTTTCTAACTTGAATTGAAGGAATTTGACACACATGAGTAGAAGCGAGTTACATGTACAGGTACTGGGTGGGGACAAAACTTCCAGGACTGGTAACAGTCAGAGGTGGCAACCATAGAACTGGATTTCACTCCCCCAAGGTCAACTTTTTGGAAAAATACTGGAAATACAGTTTGGTCTAGTGGTTAAGGCACCAGACTAGAAACCAGGAGACAGTGAGTTCTAGTCCTACCTTAGGCATGAAACCCGGATGGGTGACTTTCGGACAGTCACTCTCTCTCAGCCTAACTCACCTCACAGGGTGGTTGTTGTGGGGAAAATAGGAGGAGGAAGGAGTATTAAGGTATGTTCACCTCCTTGAGTTATTTGTAAAAATAATAAAAGATGGGATAAAAAATCTAAAAAAAAAAGAGAAAGGTTTTCACATGGGGTTAGGATGACCCCTGGAATTAAACAGAAAAAACAAGCTATATGATATAGTTGCATTCCCTTACAGTTATTTTATGTGTTCAGATCCAGGGGACAAAAATATTATATGGCTTTTTGGGACAGGATGTCCACTTTGCTTTGCTCTTCTGCAGCGCTTTCAACAACATCCTCAGCAACGTTGGGCACATGCTGCTGGGTGTCCTTTTCCTGCTGATCGTATTGTGTCGAGACATTCTCCATCGGCGCTCCTTGGATAAGAAAGACATCTGTACAATGGTATACTCTCTACCTTCTCGCTGGGCAAAGATGGCACCATGGGTACCTGGTATAAAGTGCCTATTTCTTTCTGGTTTTTGCGTTGCAAGTGAAGCCAAGGATTGTGCTGAAGGAAAGGACCTTTTCTGTTTTCTTTCCTTCATAAAGCTTTGCCTTTGGGCCAGACTGCACATCTCATGATTATTTGTTTTAATACCAAGCAGTTGAATTAAAAAGAGAGGGGGGTGTTTAAGATTCCCCTAGGAACATCCTGCTCAAAATTATCCTCCCTGAGTTCTTTTTCTCTTGGAGAAAGAGAGGAGATCTGTGTGCAGCTTCCCCTGTACTTTCCTTGCCTTCAAACTGTTCAGCACATTAGAAAGTGGGGGAGGGAGGAGGGAAGGCTGAGTGTGAGAGGAGGCCAGTGAGGGTGCCTGGGGAGGCCAAGGCTGTGAGTGGGGGGTGCAAAGGGATCCCAGAGAGGAAAGAGGGGGGAGAGGCTGAATTTGAGGAGGGGGTACTGCAGAGAGCTTGTGGGGAGGGGAGTATGGAAGGGCATGTGGGGAGCAAGAGTGCAAGAAGTACAGTAGCCATATTTTCTTGGAAAAAATAAAGGACAAACCTGAAAAAGGAGCAAATCTGAAAGAGGTTCATAAGAAGTAAAAAATTGGTTTATGTTTATAATTTTGCTTTACAAAGGAAAATTCAAGAGCAAAACCAAGAAAAACTTTACAAAGCCGCACATTCTAATAAAAATATCTAAAATCAAATAGTATATGTAAATTTATTTTAAAAAGACAATTCACTTTCCATATTTTTCACCTGAAAGTGAAAGACTGTGCATTAAGTGGTACAGTAAAAATAAAGGACAAAAGTGAGTTTTTAAAAAATAAATTTAAAGGACAGCTTTCTGCAATAAAGGACTGTCCATTATAATAAAGGATGTATGGTCACTGTAGCAAGAAGGGATGAGAGATGAAGGATGTACTTTATGTGGAGTCAAGAGTCCAAGCACATCTGCACAGTACTTGGAGAGGCAAGGGAAGAGTGAAAGCGAGAGGGTTGTGTGGGCCTCAGAAGAGATGATAACTGGCTAGACACACCCTCCCATTACACGCTTGTACTTCTTGGGCTGCTCTTTTTCTCTGCTCCTCCCAGCTGCTCTTTTAAACCACCATCCTCAATAGATAATCTCAGTTTAGCTCACGAATTCCTAGGTAGTCTGTCTTTCCATATAAATTTCCTCAATAATTTATCTATCCCCCCCCCAAAATTATTTGGGATTAACATTGGAATACCTCTCAATGCATAGATTAATCCTGGAACAATATTTATTGGAATAATATTAATTTTACCTTACCAATTTAATGGAATTTTAATTAATATGTAAGGCAACGTTCTCTAACTCTTTTAACATATTTAATTTCAAATATTTAGAAAAAGTTTTAGGAATATAAAGTCATAGATAGTATAATCTGTGGTAATTACAAAAGCTAAGTTTTTACATTGTGTTGTTGAGACTTCAGAGCCTGAAGGAAGTATCTTATCCAACTTAATCTTAAGAAGACTTGAAATAACTTTATTGCAGTCATTAACCAGAACAAGGGAATTAGTGTTCAAATATCTAAAACTAAATTGATAATATCAGGGTAATTAGGAAAGGTACATACAAAGAAGTTTGACTAAAAGACAATATTAAATCAAAAAATGCTAAGATCAGGCTACACATGTGTGATAAAAGAGAAAAAAGATTAAAACTAGCAATCTGGGTATTATAAGCTTTGAAATAGTAACAGAAAATACCAACAGAAAATACCAACAGAAAAAAAATATTGGTAGATAAAACAATAAAATTATCCAAAAGGGATTTAGGAATTATGAACTTCTCTTACAGGCCCCTATCAAACCTGAGAAGAATATAGTACTGACACGGCATGCACACTTAAAAAAGCATAAAAGAAGCAGCTCAAAGTACCCCATGGTTAACACTGAGCCTGAGCCACATCTGGCTCTCCGTGCTCAGGCAGGTTCCATTGCTCTTAATGATTCTTGGCCTGATCTTGCATGCCACCGTGCAAGACCTGGCAACCTTGTGTGTTATTTCAGGATCAAGTTCATCTTTCATCCTGAATGCTTACTTATCAAAATGTTGAATCACCTACATAAAATTTAGCCATGGATTAGCATAATAATCTAATATTGGCAAAATATAATCAGCATATATAAGTAATTTATAATCAAAACCTGTCAGCATGATACCTGTGATGTCATTAGATTGCCTAATAGGCATTGTTAAGGGTTCCAGAATTAAATCATAAAGCAGCAGGGAAAATGGGCAATCGTGATAGGTATCATGTTGTTGCTCAAATGCTTCTGAAATCATTTGGTTTATTATAATTCTGCACAGGATTGCCGGTCCTAAGGCTGTTAGTTGAGCATGTGGGAAATGTCTTTCCCCCCAAAATTCTCAAATTACAAAATGCAGTCCTTTGGGAGATGTGGTTAGCCTCCAATGCTAAGTGTGTGGCCTGTACTCTTCAGTTAGTTCTTGTGCTAATATTTTTAGCTGCTGTAACTGGGTTTTAATTGTTTTATCTATTTACCTGATTAACTGCTTTAGCTGTTCTGGATGAAAAACCAGGATACAAACTGAATGATAGTTCTTGGTTCTTTTTCTGTCTTCTGTTACCTTTTAGGAATACGGGGTCCCTAAGCATTTTGGCCTCTTCTACGCCATGGGTGTTGCTTTGATGATGGAAGGTGTCCTCAGTGCTTGCTACCACGTCTGTCCCAACTACACTAATTTCCAGTTTGGTAAGCGGAGGGCTTTCCCTGGCCAAGTCATGCCAAAGCCTTTTGGCAGGTTGGGTTTAGTGGCATCTCAAGATTTCAGAAACAGTAACACAAACAGGAGAAGTCACTTTCTAACGTTTCATCAGTGTGATAGGTCTGCATGTTGTGAAAATGAAAAAACAACTTTTCTGCTTTTTTTGAGAACTAGTATCATAGGAGGTGTTGAGTTGGCAATATGATGTTGAATAAGTGGCTGCACTCACAGAACAGGCTGAAACACAAACAAGCCCTCCCCATTTTAGGTTCATATATTGTGCAAACACAGTTAGTTTATGTATGTAATTTTCTTCTTCTGGGGGAAGGGGATGGGTGGGGCTTTCCTTTGTATCTTAAAACTGCTAAGCTTTTCTGCTCCCTTGATTTAACAGACCAATTGAATAAAATGCATAAAATTGTGCTGTTACCGATTCTATAAAAACAATTATAAACATGCAAAAACAATAGTTTCTGTGCAGTACTGGAACAAAAATATGTTTTTATATAGTGTCCAGTCTTCTTCTGCACCTAAGGGGTCTTCAGGTTCCTCTGCTGGCTGCTGGTTTGGTAAATGGCTTTGCTCCCCTTTAATATAGTTGCTCTATCTATCTTTCAGTCCCCCAATCCCTACAGGCACCAGTTCCCACTGCCTTCAGTTGGCTTATGATGGTACAGTCAAGAGGGCTCAGAAGTGTTGTTCTGAAAATTAACATTCCAATTAGGAGAATGTATTCTATTTAATTGTCTGGCCTCATTATAGCAATCTACAACAGCAGTCCTTTTAATGATTAATATCATGATTAGTTATTAGCCACTCTAGAGTGGCCGTTGTCTCTTTAATGTTAATAGATTTAACCACCATAAGAACTGTTTTGTTTTCTCTTCTTTTGACAGATACCTCTTTCATGTATATGATTGCAGGACTGTGTATGCTAAAACTATATCAGACTCGCCACCCTGACATCAATGCCAGTGCTTACTCGGCCTATGCATCCTTTGCAGTTGTTATTTGCCTTGCTGTACTCGGAGTGGTAGGACTGTGTCTTATATGAAGTGTTGTGTGTAGAGTCAAGTAATGCAGAACTTCTGGAAAAAATCTTATAAAACTTAACTGTGCACACTCATGAACTTAAACTTAAATTCCACTGATGCCAGGTGGTAAAAAACCAGCTGCTGTAGGTGCTCAAGCCTACCCATTTGAAAAATGAAAGATAGAATTATGTCTTATTGAATAATAATGCCAGAAATTCTCGTAGTAAGTGTTTGAAGTGCCACAGCCTAAAGAGAGTGCTTTTCTCAGGTTCAGTCCCACATTTGATGAAATTATCAAAGCAGTATATAAAAACAGTTTAAAAAAAAGTGAAAATGATAAACCGTAATAATAAACTCACTACTGCAACAATAAAAATGCAGTTTAAGCTCTAATGCCGCTCGTTGCCTTAATAAAATAATCAAAAGATGCATCTGTATTCATTTTGCATTTAGGTTTTTAGAAATGCAGTCTGGGTATGATTCATTCCCATTCCTATTCTCTAGTCTGAATTATTAAAATATTATTATTAGATTTTATGTATTATTACATTAATTATTGAATTATTGGTATGTCTCACTAATCCTTTCTGATCACCAAACTTAGCTTACGTTGGAAAAAAGTTAACTATAGAATATTCAGTTTCTTTTATTTGAAAACCAAGGTCTAATACTAGTTGTCTCTGATGGTGAGACAACTGATTGTTTATTTATTTATTCTTTCCAAGGTTTTTGGGAAAAATGTGTGGTTTTGGGCCCTCTTCTCCATCATCCATGTTGTGGCCTCCCTTGGTCTTAGCACCCAGATTTACTACATGGGTCGTTTTAAGATAGGTAAGTTTTATTTGGAAAGAAATCTAATTAAAATCCAAGCCTAGGATTTTAGCCAGAAATAGCAGATAGTTTTATATTTTGGAGAGAATGCTGGAGAAACACTACAGTGCATCCGGAAAGTATTCAGACCCCCTTCACTTTTTTCAATTTTGTTATTTGCAGCCTGATACTACAATCATTCAAATTCATTTTTTTCTCATTAATCTACATAATGACAAAGTGAAAACAGAATTTTAGAAATGTCTGTAA